GGCAACCAATCGATGTTTCTCTCTCTCCCTTCCTCTCTCCTTTCCTCTCTCTAAAGCAATGAAACAATGTCCTTGCATGAGAATTAAAAAAAAAAAAAAAATGCCTGTACGAGGCTTAGGAAAAAGTTGCCGCTCAAGTCCGCACAGAACATAGTAGGGGTGATCCCAGCCTGGTGTCAAAGCCAGAAGTAAGCACAACTCTTTAAGATAAACCTTGGCTTAGAGGACAGGGCATGTGTGGGAATTATACCTTAGATTACTGCTTTGGGGAACGCTGTCTTTTTTTCCTAGATGCCAAAAATGAATGTATCTCTGACACCTGTTGGCTCCTCACTGCCATCCTGCATAATTTTCCAGTAACATCTCAAGTCACCCTTGTCCTTTCCCCCAGGAGCCAACATCAGCCTTGGGCCAGACACTAGGGCACAGGGCCAGGCATCGAAGCTGACAGTGCAACCCCATTATTTATGAAGGACTGACTCACATCATGTCACAACAGCCGTACTTTTCCATCCACTGTTGCTGAAAGCCACCAGACTTGTAGTGATGGTGGTGATAAAGGGAAGGTCAGGGGACAGAAACGCATGAGCTATGTCTCAGACCAAGGCCTCAGCCTCTTCAGGGGAAGGGAACCCGGGGAGGGGGTGGCAAGGATTGGGACGGGAAACTTACAGTGGCTTCAGAGACAGAAGGAGTCACCATTACGAATTCATCTCTTCAGGCTAAGAATCATTATGGTTCCTGCCACCTGTCCTGTCCCCTTCCTCTCCTGTTTTTCCAACAAACTGATCAACTCCAACGAACCCTTCAAGGCCCAACTTCTGAGCCTCTTCCCCAAAACCAAGTCTCAGGTGCATCCCAACTCTTAACGTGGCCAGCCACAGTGACAGTGGAGAAGGATGTGGGGGTCAACAGCAGGGCTTGGGAAAACCAAAGCTCCCATGGATGTATTGTGTGGGCTTGCATGGGACCCGCTTCCCCTGTGAGGGGTGAGCCCACCGCCCTGGCCCCCAGGCCCTCTGGCCCATGGGCATGGGCAGCCTGGCTGACTGAGGCAGCATGGCATGGAAGCTAAGGCTGCAGGGTCCAGTGCCAGACTGTCCGGGCTAGTTCTGGTGCCCCCCTGGCCCTACGAGTGTCATCTTGGGCAAAGTTATACCTCCTTTCTGAGGCTCAGTTTCCCCATCGATAAAACGGAGATGATATAGTTTCAACCTCGTGGAGTAATTGTAAAGATTAACTAATACATGGAAAGTGCTTAGAACAGGGCCTAACACCCAGCGCACAGTTGGTGAAGGTTTTTACTCTTATTAAAAATGTAGCCCCCCAAGCAATCAGGAAAGACAGGGTCTATATTTCCTGGGAGCAGAGGAGGAGAGATGCCTCCAGGGACCCCGTCTGCTGTCTATGCTCCTGCGATAGTGTCCTCGGGAAGTCTCCTCGCCACCAGCCTCTTCCCCTCCGATCAACTCCACACGGCCCAGAGTTTTGCCTTAGAACACAGATCATATTCCTCTGCTGATACAAGGTTGGCTGAAAGAATGAGGGGGAGGGGAGGGAAAAGTTGCTTGATGTGTGTGGATGTGTCTCCCATATTTCCTATCCCATAGAAAGCTCCAGCTTCTACCCAGGCCTAGTTCTCGGACTTCCACCTCCACACCCTACACTCGAGCTTCTCCATCCTGCTTGTCTCTATACACAGTGTCTCAGACATTCAAGCTCCTGAGGCCCCCAAGGGAACCACCTTATCAGATTCCTAAGTGAGGCCTCAGAGCCCCAAGCCTTCCCAGGGCCTAGGGGAGAAGAATGTCCTCCCTCTCCCTGGCCCACATGTCTGGCTACACCTTCTCAGACAGGTTTGCTGTCCCTGGCCCAGGAGACATGAAGCTCCACCCTCGTCCCAGGACTGCGGGGACTTGGCTTTGGTCTTCCTGGGTTCTCCAGTGCCCTGGAGGACTTTAAAAGGAGACCTGGAGAGGGTGCAACTCTCACCACTAACAGGAACTGCCCACATTGGAGGGCAGCATGGGGAGGGTCCTTTTCAGAATGGGGGTCTGACCCGGAGCAACCCTCCCCTTCTCAAACCGCCCTGCGTGGGTGGCCTTCTGTTCAGCCCAGGAGCTGCACCTCTGGGTGACTGGAGGCAGCTGGCTAGAAGCACCCCTAGCAACCTGGCCAAGGCGACAGAGACCCAGCTTTGGATTCGCTGGAGTCCAATCAAGAAAAGCTCCAGTGCTGCCTCCAACACCACCCATCTCTGGACCTCCATCTCCCACCTGTACAATGACGCTGGGCAGGCTGGATGCACCACTTATTCAGCGTGTATCACCAGGCACCCACTACACACACCAGGCACTGCTCTGATCCCTGGGGCTAGAGCAGTGAATAAAACAGACAAAAAGCCCTGCCCACAAAGAGCTGATGTTCTTACACGGATGACAGACAATAAACAAGATTTTTTCTAAAAAGCGAAATATGCAGGATGTCACACGGTAATAAGAACTATGGAAAACAAAGCCAGAAGGGGTGTAGGGATATAACCTCTAAGGCTGATTGCAGCTGCAATCCTGAGTCTAAAGCTCCTGCTAAGGCCCAGGAGCCGGCCGTGGGGAACTGCGCAGGGGCAGCTGGGGGGTGGGGGGAGCACGCTGGTGCAGCTCACAGCGGCCTCCTCTAGGGAACAGAACTGGCCACCTCTGGGTGTCCTGATGTGTCCGTGGGCCAAAGCAGCCACTGGGTTCTGCTGAGGAGCCCAGGGGGTTATGGGTTCCTGGCAGGGCCTCGGTCTCCAGGGCACAGCCACGGAAAATCTTCTAGGGCCCTCTTCCGTAGCCACCCCACTGGACCCTGGCTTTGGATAAACAAGAAGACAATGACCACTGCCACCTGAAGCGGCTCTCACACCACTCTTGTCCCTCCGCCCGGACCCTCTCTATGTGGTAGCCTGTCCCCTATCTCACATGGGGAGGGGGAAGAGGGATTAAAAACTCTCCCTTTTACTATGAATTTTAGCAATTTCTCATCCTGTAGAAGACTGTTTTTTGATGAATAAATACTTCCTGTGAACCTCCTGTGTGCTCAGGATGACGTCGGCTCTCTGAGGAATTCTAAGGCGCAGGGTCACTTCCTAGAGGAAGCCGCAGCGCACCTGGGCAGTCAGGCTGGCACTCACACACATGAGGGGATGGCTGTGGTTGCTCTGAAGCTTGCGGGGCCCTTTGGGCCACTCACTCGCCCATAAAACCATGCACATTCTGTCGTCCCCATTTTACAGGTGAGGAGATGAAGGCCCAGAACACCAAGCTCTCTTCCCTCGGTCCATGGTTGCCCCATGGAGAGGTAATGAGAGAGAGGAGGCAATGAAGATCAACATTTCCAAATAAGATTTTCTGGAGGGACAGGTAAGGCTTGGGTGTAGGTGGGACAACAGTCCTCTGCCTCCAACCCAGGGCAGGCCACGCTGGGCTTGTAGCCCAGCTTCCTCCACTCCCCGCCCCCCCCCCCCCCCCCGACAAAAAGTGGACTGGGGGTAAAGAAAAAGCCTGTCTGGGAGACTACATGGGACTGCGGATGTGCGCACGGTTTAAAAAAATGCCAAAATGCCTCCAAGTGGGTAAGGATGTCAAAGGCCTTTGGTGGTGGTGGCCCCTTTCTGGCCCAGCTTTTCAGAGTGCCCTTTCTTCTGCTCACCAAGGGCAGGGAGCAGTCAGCTGGGAAAGAACTGCTGCTGTTTCAGGTTAATTCATTCAGCTCTTGTTGAGCACCTTTGTTCCAGGTACTCTGGCTGCAACCGGAAACAAAACAGGGCCCTGCCCTCCTGCAGTTCTTAGCTGAGCAAGGAGCAGACTCTCTTGGATGAGCTTCCTAGCCAGATTTTAATTCTTCTTGGAGGTCCCCTTTCCTGGCTTACCCCTGCCAGGGGAGGAACCTCAAGGGAGAGAGAGAAGAAACATACCCCTGCTGAGTTGGGGGCCCAGCAAAAATGTCCAGAAGCAACCATCTGGCTCTAGGAGACTGTGGTTTGCGGTCCACGGCCACCACTTTTCAAGACCAAACTGTTTAACTTCTTTTTCCTCATCTGCCAATGGAATAAGACCTCCTTAGGGCACTGGTTTCTTGCTGGGGGTAAAATGAATCAGAGATGTGTCCTTGGTAGTTCCTCTCTGATCCACTGACCTTCCCCAACCTGTTCTCTCTGGTTCTGCGTGCAAAGGGGCATCTTTCACCCCCTGCTCCACCCTGAGCCCCCTTACACTCTTGGCTGAAGGAAGCCCATTCTGCTCCAATCAGCAAGGATTATTGAGCCCTAGGTCTATGTCCCTGCGGCGCCCCAGGCCACCCTTTCTCCTGGCTCATCTCTCTGGGGCTTGGAAAGGACTAGGGGAGCCAAGGATGCCCAGCCAGGGCTGTGGCCTGCCACAAGACAGGACAGAAGCCAGGACACACCTGGGCTGGACACCCACTTTCAACGGCGCCCAAACGGACCTCCCTGGCCTAAGGGCTGCCACCTCACCCACACCTCTGCTCGCTCAGCCAAGTGTCCTAGCGTGTATTCGGCCCCAGGAGGAGGGAAGCGTAAATGTAAACACCCTTTAAGACATCACCAACTCTTCAGTCCCCATCCCAAATTTTTTTCAAGGGATTGGGTAGTACGGGGAGGGCAGCAAAGGCTCTGAAGAGTGAGAGATCGGAAAAGTGAGAAGGCAAAACTCAACCTATTTCAGCGGGGACCCTGTGCACTCGCGGCAGCCGCCCTACCGTGGCCCCGGCTCCCCGCAGCAGGAGGCGGGCGGAGCGCGTGCGGGGAACCGGGCTGCATTTCCCTGACGCCCGGCGCGCAGCCGTCCGGCGCGAACTTTCGGAGACCCGCCCTCGGAGCGGCGGGCGGGCTCCAAGGGGGCTGCGGGAGGCCGCGGAGTTGGGTGCGTGTGGACAGGGAACAAGGAGGGCGCGTACGGGGACACGCGGAGGCACCGGCGAGGAGTCCCGCCCTCGGTTACCTGGGTTCCAAGGGTCACGGGCGTCCAGCAGAAAGGGCGCGTGGACCCGGGCGCTCCTCTGGGCGTAGCGACCCCTAGACACGCGGGCGCTGCACCTGGCCCGGCCGGTCCGCGCGCCTACCCCTCCGGTCCCGCCCGCGATCTCCTGCCGCGCGGGGCGGGGCGGGGAGGCCGGGGGAGGAGCCGCTGGCGGGGGGCACCCTCCCCTCTCGGGGCTCGCACTTAACAACCAGCCAGCCACTGACGCTGGACTCGGTGACCTCCAAAGGGTCGCCCCCACCACTCGCCAGGCTGAGGTGCGACCAAAACCCTGGGCCCAGGGGGTGCGCATAGGCCCCCTCACTCCGTAATCCTCTGCTCACCCCCACTTCAAGGGTGCAGGATCGGGAGCCTGCAGTCTCCTTGAGGGCCAGGCCCCTGAGCATGCCCTTCAGAAGAATGCGCGGGGTGGAGCACAGGGAAGAAAAAAAAAAGAAGAACAAAACAAAACTGGGTACCCGCAGCCACACCCCTCCTGTGCTGTTCTTCTCCAGTGGGAGAGGCTGCTGGCTGTTCTGGCCCTGTTGTCAGATACACCTGGCTCTCTTCGGAGTGGCCAAGAAGTCGGTCGAGGTGGTGAGGGAGGTGTTGCTTGGCTCCCCCTCACCCTGTCTCCCAGGTTTCTATTTCCCAGGTCTGGAAGGTGCTGGGCCTGGGCCTCTGCCACTCAGTGGACACAGAGATAAGAGCTGAAGGGACACAGAGGACAAAGAAACATTTGGTCCCTAAGACCTAGACTTTGTGGTTGCTCCCAGGTGCAGAAGGAACAGGTTGCAGCTACTTTCTGGCCCCCTCGACCCTGCCTTTCTGGAAAATCCACCCCTTAGACAAAACTCCCTGACTGAAGTGGGGTGGGGGGGTCATTTCCCCCTGGGGCCCCGGGCTGTCTGAGCTCCTTCTGCTCCCTGCCTTGCCTTGTTTGCTAAGTGCACAGGGAGTGGAAGGAGCACTGTATCTGGAGTCCAGAGGCCTCCATTCAGCTCTGGGAACTTGGACAAGTTTCTGTCCCTTTCTGGGCTTCAGTTTCCTATTTGCAGTGAGTGGGTTTCAACTGATTTTCTGTAAGGCCCTTTTTATGGATTCTGAATTGTGCTATGGGGCATATTGCTTTGCAAGTTTTTCTGTGGCTGCACATCTTGTAAAGGCATCTCTGTGTGTGCATTGTGTGTGTGACCCTCAGTTCAGATTAGCTTGTCCTTTCAGACTTAAATTCTTTTTTTAACTGAAGCATGTTTTAAACCTACTTTCACTTATTTATTTATTTATTTATTTATTTTAATCCTCACCCAAGGGTATGTTTATTGGTTTTAGAGAAAGAGGAAGGGAGAGAGAAAGAGAAATATTGATCAGTTGACCAGGGATCAAATCTGCAACCTGGGTATGTGCCCTGACCTAGGATCGAACCCACCACTTTCTGGTATACGGGATGACATTCCAACAAACTGAGCCGCCTGGCCAGGGCTCAGACTTAAGTTCTTGAAGGGAAAGTGACTGAGGGCATACGAACAGGGAGGTCTTCTTGTGCGAAGCAGAGCTTGACAAGAATGGCTGGCACTGGGGAAGTAAATCTTGGTTCCAGCTTATGCTGAATTCAGAGTGGCCTCAGGCAAGTCCTTCATTAATAATCCTCCCTTTGCCTTCCCAAAGGTGTTGGGGGCTAACTGAGATATTAGATATGAAGCCCTTTGAATGGGCAAGGCAAGAGGTTATGTGTTTTCTGATGTCATCATTTGATGCCTGTGACAGTGATGGACTAAGGAGGCAGAGAGGAGCCAAGGTGCTCAAAGCCTAGTGCTGGCCTTGTTCCCACCCTATAGAAGCTGCAGCATGCACAGCACAGGCGTGTACTCACCACTACTCCCCGCACTGGCAATGTGAACAGAGCACAGTGCCTCGCCGGACTCCAGCCCCCTGCAGGCCCCTGTGTGCACCTTGGGAAGCTAAAGAGGGAAGATCAACAAGCTCCCAACCTAAAGGGAGGTGGTCCGTGGATTACCAATGAACCAACCTATCAGCATGTCCTGGCTGCACACCTGGTTGGTAGGTGCCACAGATTCCCAGCTCTGCTCCTAAAGAGATTAAAATCTAGCTGGATGACTAAACAGGAACGCTTTGGAGAAAGATATGGAGCAAGGCGAGGCTGTTGTGGATGGTGAGCACACAGGGAAGGCTGAGCAGAATGGGAAGGGAGGGAGCCTGCAAGGAGGGGGTGGTCTGGGGCCCTCTGTGCAGCCCAAGGCAATGTGAGGCACAGGCAGGACTGGGATGTGTACCAGTGACTGGGAGAAGCATTCCAGTTGGAGAAGGAGCTGAGCCAAGGCACAGAGGTGGGAATGAGCCGAAGGGGGGGCGCTTGCAGGGTTTTTGAGGCCATAGTCATTGGGGCGATGTGGGCATGGGATATTCCCGGAGAGGCACAGGCCCCGCATTACCCAATGCGGCAGCAGATGACATGTCAGGAAGTTACTAAGGTGACATGGAAAAAGCACCAGGAGTCAGGCAACCTGTATTCAAATGGCTTTGAGCAGTTGTTTCTCTTCTCTGACCCTCGGTTTCTTTATCTATAGAGTCAGGATCATAACATCTTTTCTTTTAGGGTTCTCACGGGGACCGCAGGATGCATTTGGAAGTGCTCCATAAACTGCAGAGTGCTGAGTGACCTTAACATTTGGGGTTTGGTTGTTTCCTTCAAGGGCCTCAGTAAACGTTTGTGGAACGGACCCACGCTGGGTACAGCTGTGCGTGTCTCTTCATGGCAGTGGGTGCCTGGACCACAAAAGGAGGGGATCTGCAAATGGTCAGAGGGACCCCTGGAGGGCGGGAAGAAAGGAGAATGCCAGCCATAAATGTCACATCTCCTTGGCACACCTTTGCTGTAACTCAAATACCCTTTTGGGGGAAATAGTCACGCCCCATCCATATGACTCAGAGTCTCCCATCTCTGCATCTGCCCCTCCTGGCACCGAGGCGTTCGGGGTGCACAGAATCAGAAGTTACTTTCCTAACCAGGCGCCTGCTCCCCATGAGGCTCACCAGCACCTCCCGGGTGTGCCCAGACGGTCTGTCCTCTTCGTTCAAAATGCCTCGTCTCACAGCAGGAAAGGTGTGGGAGGGACCATCATCTCACTTAATAGCAGGACTCCGTCCCTCATGCATTCTTGGCCATCTAGCACCCAACCCTAATTCAACGTGTAAGCCCTCTCCCTCTTGTTGTCTCCTCTGTGAAGGAGTCACCGGGGCAGGGTTTACTGCTCCCCTTGGTAGATGAGAAGACTGAGGCTGGGGGAGGTGCCAGGGCTGGTCTAGAACCATCACCTCGCCTGCACCGTCGGGACTGCCCCGCTGGCGAGGCCCTTTCCCGGCCATCGTCCCTTCAGGCCCGGGGGGTATTAGCCTCACCGTACAGAGGAAGACAGGGCTGCTCAGGGCGCGTACGTGGCCGACGGGAGCTCCTTTCAGCCCCAGCGCTCAGACAAGCGGTCACTGCTGTAATTAGTTTCCTCGGGCTGCCATAACCAATTAGCACAGATGCAGTAGCTTAAATAGAAACGTGCTCTCTCACAGTCCTGCGTGCTCGAAGTCCCCAACCTGGTGTCAGCAGGGCCACACTCCCTTTGAAGTTTCCGTAGGAGAATGTGCCTTATTTCTTCCAGTTTCTGGTGGCTCTGGGAGTGTCCTGGTTTGTGGCAGCATGACTCCGGGCTCTGCCTCTGTGTCTTTGTGTCCTTTCCTATTTGTATAAAGACACCAGTCATTGGGTTCAGGATGATCTCATCTCGAGACCCTTAACTTAATTACATCTGCAAAGATCCTTTTTCCAAATAAAGTCACAGGGACTGGAGGTTAGAACATGGACTTATCTTTTAAGGGGACACTGGCCACTGCAGTGTCTTTCCTCCTAATGGCAGGACCTGGTGGTCCTTCAAGGTCAGTCTCCTCCTTTCCTTCTTCCCTCAACCTCTCACCTCATCTCACCTGCCTGGAGAGAGCCTCCTATAGCATCTTTTCCCATCTGGTCCTGTTACAGAGGAGAAAGGAGACAAGAGCCATGTGGGGACGTTGCTGGGGGCACTGAGTGAGAGGACTCACCCCCCCTTTGACTTCCTCTGCCACCATCTCACTGTCTGACCATGGCTGTTTCAATAGCACACTTTGCGCCCCTTCCTCTAACATCTTTCCATCGTGAGGTATCTGTGGAAGGCATCTTGCCCTCTCGCTCCTTTTGGAGAATGTGCTCACCCAACTCTTTGCCCCAACTCTTCTTCTGATGCCCAGGTGCTGACAGCCCTTTGCCAGGGAGCAACAAAGCCTTGCATTCTGTGCAGAGAGCATAGCCTGCCAGGCAAAGCCCCCTGGAGTGGGGGGCACAGCAGTCCCTCCCCAGGTGTGGATCCTGTTCTCAGGGTAGTGTCCAGGGAGGCGGAGCATGAGAGGCTGGCCCTTGAAGAGTGTGTGTGGGGAAGGGAGAGGCTAGGAGGAGAGCAGGGTGACCTACCTTGACTGGGGCTCACATTGGCCAGAGCCTGGCCAAAGGACCATGCTTAGGCTTGAACCCTTGCCTCCCTAGGGAGAGACCACGAGGGCCCGACATCTCAGGTCCCTAAAGGAAGCCCCGGGCTTGCCCAGTGCCAGTGTCCATCGAGCGCCGGAGACTCCAAAAGGCCTTCAGAGTCATTTGACCTAAGTCGTAAAGATGCTCAGCAAGAAGCAGCGCTGCCGGGAGGGGGGCCAGCTGAAATGTGGTGTCCAAGGGCCGCCTCTGTCGCAGATGCCAGCTTCCCAGCCCCGAGGAGTATCTTCACAGCTGCCCAAGGCTTGCAACCCTCCATACAAGGGGCTTGGGCAGCCCTCTGCTTGCAGGGGGAGTTGTAGGGGACTGGTCTTGAAGCCACATTTCAGAGAGGCACAGAGAAGTTTTACTTGGGTGGAGGGTTTATTTGGGTGGCTAGGGAAGGGGTACACACAGAGATTACGAAGGGGGTTTAACTCGCCCTCCCCCTGCATGC